GTTTGTTACTGAGACAATGTTTGAATGAGATTAATGATGAGTGGTTGAAAGCTTGGGAGACTTAAATTATTTACTATGTAGGTAATGATGTATCGAGCATTTGCCCATCTCTATAATGGGTACATTGTAACCATAGTTTTTACTTGGATAGGCATGGAATGTGGTTTCTAGAGCTACTTGTTGCTGTTACAAATCCATGATTTATTTATATTTATAAATATATATATATATATAAATATGTGTGTGTGTCTATACATATACACACACACACACAGTAAAAAAGAAAGCATGGATCTCTTGAGTACCTATACATATAGTTCATGGTAACTTTCTAACTTTCACCACTACTTTCAGCAGCAAAATTAGCTGTGGATTTTTTTTTTTTTAACAGGAGATGCAGAAGCGAGGCATAGCTTGAAGATTAGATGCCGTAGATGTCTTGAAATTACCAGTAGAGGAATGCTTGTTGTCACATTATCCGAGAGTAACATAACTATTGCAAACTTAGTGTAAATGAAATAATGTGTAAACCAATATTTTTACCCATCTTTTTTGTTGCTGTTTGGTAGATATGACAAAATTACCGACTGTGATGGATATTAGTATATTATTATTTTGTTAATTTTAATTTCTCTTCTGAAAGCAGGTTTAGTTTGAAACATTTGGTAGTATTAAATCATTTAAATTTATTTTTATATTATTACTCATGCATTCACTTGGAAAGTAGTCATTTTATTATTTATTAAAGATACCAGTGATATAGGTTTGTTTTGTGACTTTGTTTAATATTTTTTAACTTTACACTGGGATGTTTTATGGTTGGGAAGTGTTTAATCACAAGTAATTTGTATTATATTTATGAAGTAAATAAATAATATAATTTTTCTCATTATGTATTTGCATCACTTTGAATAAAATTTTAATGCAAATATTTTTAATTTTCTAGAATAAAATAAACAATTTATTTCAATTAACCTCCAATCTATATGGTAAGTCATATTCCACAAAGAAGTTTCATAAGCTTAAAAACAAGTATGTACTTCACCAATCAATGAAATGTTCAAATATTTACTATAAAATTTTTTTCATTATGATGATGCATATCCTTGACAGTAGCTTTTTTTTTGTCATCAAATACACAGATCACTGCTATTCAAAATTAAGACAAATATTAAGGTTTACTTTCCTGAGAATTCTCAATAAAATATTCTAGAATACAATGATTAATTTTGCTACTGTTTATTCTGTATGTCAAGGCATTAGACTGTTGCTTATAGGAGGAGTATCTTAACTTAGAGTTTGGTATTTCAAACTTGATTTGTTGTAAGTAATGTATCTGCTGAATGATGGTACTAATTGTAGAATGATGTTTTTGAATGTATATAAAAGACTAACAAACTAAACTTTTCTGGAGTTAAAATGATTTCATTTCAACAAATTATTATAAAGATGAAAAACAAAAGCAGCACCCCGAGAAAATAAAGCATGTAAATTCTTGTAGTTTAACCTAATATTTGCTGAAACCTTCCCCGTTTCAATAAAAAGTGCATTTTAAATGCACAAACTTTTTAGTAAAAGATAAACCTTACTAACAAAGCAAAAAAACATTAAACTGGTCCACTCACCAATATAGTTATGTACAAAACATTGATAGTATCCAAGATATTTCAAAAAATGCAAATAATACTATTTTTCTTTCTGGGGAAATAATTTTTACTATAAAGTCTAGTGATTCTCTTGACAAATTATGAAAATATTAAAGAATGTACATATCTCTGAACTATAAATGGCTACAACAAATCCAGTAAGAATATATTTATAAAATAAAAATGTGATTTATTTGTTTATCTACTATTTTGCTATTATAGTACTATATGAAATATTTTATTTCATTAGATCTTTTAATTAAATTGAGTTTAAGATTTCATTTTGAGAAATACATCTAAAAATTAAATAATATTCTTACTGACACTAATCTGTGACTGTAAATTATAAAGGAAAATATCAGAAACCCAAAAACAATTCCCATAATTATGTACCAAGGAAATAATTTTTGTTTTGTTTTGTAATATACATCATCCAGTTCCAATTGTCATTTTGACTTACTACACTACACAGCTTCCTTCACACAGCCACCGTCACCATCCGAGACAAATCTTTTCCGGCCTCTGAAATACAGTGAAAATCTTTATTGAAAGACAGTGAATGTCATGAAAATCTAATTAAACAGTTCAGGTTTTACAATTATTGTAGATTATAAAAAAAATTATATTTATTTTATTAAAACTTACACAACTATGCTCTGATTGGTCTTCATAATTGTACAGTAAAAAGATTCAAGGATAGAAAGAAAGAATCCTTAAAACCTATATTTTGATACAGTTGTAACCTCAATAAAGCTTATTCTCTCTTACCTTCATACCAGGAATAACTAAAATGCTAGAAGTATTTCTTGAAAAATTGATATTTTCAATGTATACATTTCAAGCTTACCTGCTAGGCAACTTTTTAATTAGCTCTTCATTGATGAAGTTTGCAGCATGACACTTGCTGACAAAATTTTCTAAAATACAATAGGCAGCTGGAACGTCAATACATATGTCAGGCATCTCTTCATTCACTCTTTCAAAACCCTGGTCAAACAGATTTTCATTTATTTTATTTCATATTACTAATAATCAAATTATTGTTCAAAATGAAAAAAAAAAAAAGATAACCATCATGGTCATTCTGTAATTTTATATGAGGAATTATAGCAAGAGTAAACAATACGTAGAAAAGTATTGTATTATTTTCAACAACAAAAAAACAAGAACCAAAATTAAAAACCAAATTCACTCACATTCTATATTTTATATGTGAAAAAATTCACGTTGAAATTATTTAAATAAAGAAACAATTTTTTAAAAATATAACAAAATAACCCTTAACCATTTCCAGATGGGTCATGGGCGAAAGGCCATGTCATCGCGTTTGTTGACTTGCATACAAAATTTTATTGAACTACTATTTCATGAACTTATGTCAATAAGTTTGGTATCAAATTTTAGTATTATATATACACCTGGAAAAAAGTTAAGCACCCCCGTGTTTTTTTTTCAAGTGATTCAGATTCGACGTTCTTGTGACTGATTATAAATTACCATTCAATCTAAATTATGCATTATTGGGCACAAGAAAACAAGATTATCACCGTAAAATAACAATTTTTAATTTACATATCATTACATCAAAATATGGACAGTTTTCACGCTTAAAATTATCTTTAATAAGTATTGTCAGTGAAAGCTCAAAAACGTTATTGAATTGTTAAATCACATTACAAAATGTCAATCATGACCCACACATTGATAATTAGTCATCGAAAAGTCAATATCGGGTATATCCACTGTTTGCCTGGATGACTGCTGCAACCCTGCGCCGCATACTGCCAGTTAGACGTCTGATTTGTTGAAGCGTTATCTGTCGCCATTCTCGGTGCAAGTGAGCTTCTAACTGTTGCAATGTCTGTGGAGGAGGCTCCAAAGCCTGTATTTGCCTACCCAATTGGTCCCACAGATGCTCTATAGGGTTGAGATCTGGACTTCTTGCTGGCCAAGGAAGAGTGTTGACGGATTCATTCTCTAAATAAGCCTTTACTGCCCTAGAGCGATGAGGTCTAGCGTTGTCATCCATGAATAAAGGTCTTGACGCTAACGTGTGTTTGTCAAAATGAGGCACAACTACAGGTGTAAGCACGTCCCTGGTGTACTTTTCGCCAGTAAGGTTGCCATTGATTGTTACCAAATCCAGCTTGCAATCATGCGAGACACAGCCCCATACCATAACTACCAAAAGGCACTGTTGGAACAATGTTTCTTGGAGTGTAAGCTGCGTTACGATGCCTCCAAACACGGGTTCGACCATCAGTTACGTGGAGTAAAAATCTACTCTCGTCTGACCAGTCAGTTCGTCTAGCGTTGTCATCCATGAATAAAGGTCTTGACGCTAACGTGGGTTTGTCAAAATGAGGCACAACTACAGGTGTAAGCACGTCCCTGGTGTACTTTTCGCCAGTAAGGTTGCCATTGATTGTTACCAAATCCAGCTTGCAATCATG